ATATGTATATGTATATGTATATATATATGTATATGTATATGTATATATATATGTATATGTATATGTATATATATATGTATATGTATATGTATATATATATATATGTATATATATATATATATATATATATATATATATATGCTCACTTGGATAAGCCACCAAAACCAACATTTAAGTTGAACCAAATGAAGTGCAAAAAACTTTTTTTAACTACGCTATAGTTCATTTATAAATTCACATTGTAGATAAACACCCTATACCATTTTATTTTACTACACACGTTTCAACGGAGATTTTATAGCAAATATTTCGCAACTTATCAAATGGCCAACATTCCTTTCTTCATATTTTACATCATCGTACTTTCTGCCTCTTAACTTCGGAGACGAAAATCTTCGTTTGCGTCCGTAAACTTTGGCCATCTTCTCATCAGTAATGGGATTTTTGTAGACGTGATGTTTAATGGCCGGCGGTTGCAATCCATTAATGTAACAAATCTCGCGCAATGCATAACGGTATAAGGAAATATCTTGCATAAAATGAGGTAACTTTATCGACACTCGTCTAATGCGTTTGATTCTGTTCAGTTCGTCAAAGCAAAGTTTTCCTGAGTACAAAAGTTTAAAGTCGATTTCTTTCGCTTGACGAAGTATTTTCACGGCTCCTGAAATGGTGATTTGGGGGTCAGTGAAGAACACCAATACTGTGGTAATAATATACAGTATAATATATCTGAGCTTTTGTGTGAGATATACCGGTTCTAAAACCATATTTTTCATTCACTTCGTCTTCGAGTTGTAAAACAAAAGTATTTCAAATTTTCAAGGCCGAACAAATTGTCAAGACATCGTAACAGAGGATAATTAATTATTGCTTCAGTTAATGGCTATTAGACTATATTATATAAAGCAATTATACCATTCGCTCTCGGCAGCTCATATACGACTCGCGCTCATGGTATAATTGTTAAATATTTGATTCATAGGCTGCGAAACTCCCGGGCTAGGGGAGCTATATAGCCTCTCTCCACGCGGATCAGTCACTAGAAGCAGCAAACTGCACACCTTTCCTGGGGAGTTTAGAAAATATAATCTGATGAGTCTCTGTCTTACCAAACAATTCTCATATGGGCAGAGAAGGGAAAGGTTGTCCCAACCTACAACCCCCACTTAACCTGTCAGGCCATTCCCTCCTGAAACTAACAGCTGCTAACAGTGGCGTGCTGGCAGGGGGGGGGGGGCGGGGGGCCACGGCCCCCCCAGCTGGCAATTCTTTGGGGGGCGCAAAAATGAAAAAGGGGCGCCGAATTTTGAAAGTGGGTCGGAAAAAATGCATTCTCGAAAAAATATGGTTACTTCCGCCAAGAAAAGACGTGTTTATAGGCTACAGTATAAAACAGACTAAGCGCATTGGCGACATATATTAAATTACAGACTATTTTGCCTAACCGTATTTGCTACCTCACAGCTCACACGAAATCGTTCATATAGATACATGATCAGTGATCACAGGCAATGTCTCATTACCGGAATATTGGTCAGGTTTCAATAGAAGCGATCACGAGAATTATGCCCTTTTTTCTGGTATTATGCCCTTATATTATGCCCTTTATTATGCTTCACGAATCACGAGAGCGGCGCAAATTAGATAGTTGAAGCAGGGCGCTGTAAAACACGGGCGGTGAAACGGCTATGGCGCCCCTGATCTATGTGTGATGCAGGTCCCCCCGCATATTTTCATTTTTATTCGAATTCGATGTGGCTTGATCAGGCATGCATGTTTGTTTTGACTTCTTTTTAAAATTACTACGTAAAAAGGCACAATTCAAGCTGAATTCACAATGGATTTGGGATCTGTGCTATTACTATAGACAAAATCTTTTTTCCGGATTCTTAATCACGGCTGATTATATGGGGAATGTTGTAGTGTGATATAAGTCTGGGATCTCACTCACGAGGATCGATTTTTTTTGCAAAACAACTTCGTTCGTTTAAAAGATGAAAAAAAAGACGAAGAAAAAGTTTTTTAAACGGCTGTTGTTGTAAAACCTGCAACTGGAATGTGTGTTTGGAAATCAGGTATGTTCAATCACATGTATTTTTGTCAAGTTCCACCAGATGAAGCGCCATAAATTGATAACTCGAAAACAGCAAGTTCTTTTTTTCAAGCGATAGTTTGTTGTCGCAGTTTTACAAGCGCGGAAAATTTTTAACTTTTAAATATTTCATGCACAATATATGAAACCTGTTTTTATTTTGATGTTTTTGTATAATTTAAGTACGTAATTTTCTGAAAATCACCAAATGAAAATGGGCTTTTTTAATTTTTAAACATTTTTTTGGCCTTGTTTTTGACATGTGCATGCCAAATCTACACATGAAATACAAGCAAGCGATAGTTTGTTTTCGCAGTTTTACAAGCGCGGAAAATTTTTAACTTTTAAATATTTCATGCACAATATATGAAAACTAGTTTTATTTTGATGTTTTTGTATAATTTAAGTACCTAGTTTTCTGAAAATCACCAAATGAGAATGGGCTTTTTTAATTTTTAAACATTTTTTTGGCCTTGTTTTTGACATGTGCATGCCAAATCTACACATGAAATACAAGCAAGCGATAGTTTGTTGCCGCAGTTTTACAAGCGCGGAAAATTTTTACCTTTTAAATATTTCATGCACAATATATGAAACCTATTTTTATTTTGATGTTTTTGTATAATTTAAGTACCTAGTTTTCTGAAAATCACCAAATGAAAATGGGCTTTTTAAATTTTTAAACATTTTTTTGGCCTTGTTTGTGACATGTGCATGCCAAATCTACACATGAAATACAAGCAAGCGATAGTTTGTTGTCGCAGTTTTACAAGCGCGGAAAATTTTTAACTTTTAAATATTTCATGCACAATATATGAAAACTAGTTTTATTTTGATGTTCTTGCATAATTTAAGTACCTAGTTTTCTGAAAATCACCAGATGAGAATGGGCTTTTTTAATTTTAAGTATTTTTTGGCCTTGTTTTTGACATGTGCATGCCAAATCTACGCATGAAATACAAGCAAGCGATAGTTTGTTGTCGCAGTTTTACAAGCGCGGAAAATTTTTAACTTTTAAATATTTCATGCACAATATATGAAAACTATTTTTATTTTGATGTTTTTGTATAATTTAAGTATGTAATTTTCTGAAAATCACCAAATGAAAATGGGCTTTTTTAATTTTTAAACATTTTTGCCCTGATTCAGTTTGACATGTCCATGCCGAAATCTACACATGGAATAGCATTGCCTTTGACTTTGCGTTTTTGAAATCTGACACCCTATGAAAAAAGCTGGGAAAAAGTATGTTTAAACAAAAAAGCCCATTCTCATTTGATGATTTTCAGAAAATTAGGTACTTAAATTATCCAAAAACATCAAAATAAAAATAGGTTTCATATATTATGCATGAAATATTTAAAAGTTAAAAATTTTCCGCGCTTGTAAAACTGCGACAACAAACTATCGCTTGCTTGCATTCGTTATGGCATTGTGTAGATTTGGCATGCACATGTCAAAAATAAGGGCAAAAAAATGTTTAAAAATTAAAAAAGCCCATCATCATTTGATGATTTTCAGAAAATTACGTACTTAAATTATCCAAAAACATCAAAATAAAGCTAGTTTTCATATATTGTGCATGAAATATTTAAAAGTTAAAAAGTTTCCGCGCTTGTAAAACTGCGACAACAAACTACATCGCTTGCTTGCATTCGATATGGCATTGTGTAGACTTGGCATGCACATGTCAAAAATAAGCCAAAAAAATGTTTAAAAATTTAAAAAGCCCATTATCATTTGGTGATTTTTAGAAAATTAGGTACTTAAATTATCCAAAAACATCAAAATAAAGCTAGTTTTCATATACTGTGCATGAAATATTTAAAGGTCAAAAATTTTCCGCGCTTGTAAAACTGCGACATCGCTGTGAACATGCAATTTGGAGTCTTTTGGCGGACATTTCAGTTGCATATTGTAAGTTCGAAAAGAGAAATAAAACAACCTTTAGCATGGTAAAAACGGAATTTTCTGCTTGTTCCTTATAATTGAATATTTTCCCTAACTTTTATATTGCATTTGAATGCCTGAATATGTTAATGAAATTGTTTCCAGTGCTTTCTAAATTGACAATTGTTTTCTAACTTTATCAAAACAAGGTCACAAGTTGTGTCATTGTAAATTTCGCAAGTGACCTGGTCATAAATCTTTAAATTGAAAAAAAAGCCCACAAAAGCCCATTTTCTAACCTTTTCAGATCGAAAGTATAACTAATTATAGATAATTTAAAGGGTTGAAGTTAACTTTTTTTCCACTCGGTCTGGCTAAAAAACTCGACTACAATTTGTAATTGCCTGAAAAATGTAAATATATTTTATGATAAAATCGCTATGCCTTCAAATAATTTCACATTTTAAAAATGCTTTTCCAACTCCAGCGATGTAATTTGCAATACTAATTAATTGCCAGAGTCCCTATTTTATAACAAGTTAATTTTTTTCCATTTTAAGGATAAATTTACCTTAAAAATTTGCACTTTTTGATTGCCCTTTAAATATTTTTGTCTCTTGTTTTTGCTTCGCTTCATCTTTAAAAATCCCGCTTCATCCGCGCATTTCGCACGCTCGCGCCAGTCTCCCTTGCATCACACATGGATCAGGCAAATATTAGCGCGTTTCACCCACTGAGCTGTATAATAACTGGAGGACCTGCTCCTATACTTCGTTCAGTCAACCAAGTGAAGCCAAAAACATGGCGGATTTTGAGTGAAAATGACGCCATTTCCATGACTACTGGTCCCTAAATTCATGGTATTTGCCACTGAACAAGGCTCAATTTTTCACACACCCCTGGTTTCTGAAAAAATATTTCGGATTTTTGCAGTGAATTCTTGTTGTTTTGTTATTTTCGACATATTTTTTCGACGTTTGACCATTTGTTCAAGGATGTGAAAGTCGTACACGTTATTCTCGTCCGTGACAGACAACAAACAACTATTAAAACTTCCCAAAATGTGGACAAAAACGATATTTCAAGCCGGGCTATAAACAGCAGTCTATAAACATGTAGTCAACTCTAAACAGGTAAACATTTTAAAATTCACATTTTTATTTTAGTATTTCATGAAAAAATGTAGGAATAAATGGTAAAATGTACTCTATTTTTTAGAAAATAAGCCACAAGTGTTTATAATGTGGTTGTAGATAAACCTTTTTGTATTTACTGTATTAAGTTTATGCAATAATTTCATCCCTCCCAATATCGAGTTGCACAACAGTACATGTATGATGAAACTATGTTTTGGTGTATTAAAGAGGAAATTAAGGTTTTATATATTTAGCCAAATGTTTTGTTATGCATGAGCTTGTGGTGAACTGATGCAGGAAA